GACATATATTACGCTGTCAAATCTATGAGAGTAATAACAATATAAACCATTGGGGCTGAAAACCTTTTCTAGCCATTGTAGCTGCTGTGAGTCGTCCACCAGCCTAACGTGGAGCTGCAGTTTGTCAAACTGTTTACTTTAAAAATTTTAGTCCATAAATAAATAGTAAATAAACATAAAGTAAAGTGTTTCATGTCAAATTTTAGAGTAAAACATCAGCTATTACTACTGGCTGGCAATTTTATATGTTATAAAACAAAAACTGAGAGTCTGGATAAAGAGTTTGACTTTTAAGAAATACCAGGCAGAGAAATATTATTTACATTAAACTCACCACTTTAGTAGGGACTTTGATAGAAAAAAAATCAAATTTATTTGAGACTTGTTTTTACTTATTTTTTTTACTTGTAAGTCTCTATGTACTGGTTACAAAACTGTTTTGTTTTTTAATTGGACCACTCATTAATATAAGGATATAATATAAGGATTTAGATGCCATAAAAACAGTCGCAGAGTCCCATAGACACAGCGCATCACAATTTTGCAACAATTTTTAAAAACCAAAGCAGAAAACAAACATTTATATAGATTTTGAAATGATAGGTGGGTGGTCTAAGCATTAAGAGTGACTGAAGTTCACAAAAACCTGACCCACACACTGCTGGGGTCGGACAAATTGAAGTGCCTAACTTTAGTAAAACCGTCAAAATATATTGTTGTGACAGATCATCTCAAAGTACATGTAATAAATGACTCTCAGTTACTACCACAACAAATATTATCTCAGTATCTGAATGTAAAACAAACAGTTGTAGCTAAACACTGAACTGACCCTAAAGATTAGCACCACACAAAGGATCGTGTTCTGAACATCTCCAGCAGGTGATCACAGGTGGAAAACTTTCAGGTAGTTTCTCTCAGGGTGTTTTGTGTACAACAGAAGTATTCACAGCTTTTTCTATTAAAACTGTAAAAATTTTCCAAGTCGTCGTGCCCCAAAAATGTAATGAATGTTTAAAAAAAAGGAAGTCTGAGCAGGAACGGGCAGTAAAATGTAAAATATACTAACAAGCTGCGGTGTCACAATCTGGAGTTTTGATGAAACCAAAGTGCAAACAGGACTTGAGGGTAAGACGTTAACACTGATGACGTAAAGAAGAGGAGGGTCAGGTGGGCGGGGCAGGAGCAGAGACACAAACAGGACAGGACAATAAAACACAAAGAGGAGCAGAATAAACTCACACACATCCTTAGGTGTGTTAATAAAAATAAAAACTAGATTCAACACCTGTCTCTACTCTAATACATGAATTGCACATCACCCACCACCTTTAGGTTAGTATTTTAGATTATAATCATCTCATGATGAGAAATGATAATGTTAAAGATGGTTTGGGCTCTTCTTAGTAAAGATTTGGTTATGATTCAGATAAGATCTATGAAACTGACTTGATTCAGGTGAATTAAAGGTGGCCCTCTGGAATTGGGCTGGCAGTAAAAGTTAATCAATGAAGGATGTAGATCTGATGTTTTTTCATGAATGTTTTTTAATAAATTTCAAGGTCAGACGTGAACAAACCGAACTGTGAAACAGAACCAACACATCAGACACTGAACTGTGTGTGACTGAGGAACAGAAAACCTGTCTGCTTTTTATTTTAAGTCTAGGATTTCTATTTTCTGATGAGATGTTGAACTACTGAACCTGAAAACATCTTTGTTTCCTTCCTCCTTCTCTCAGGGCATTCTGGGAAGTCTTAAAAGCGGCAAGTCAGCGCTGGTGAACAAATACATCACAGGCAGTTACGCTGCAATCGAGAAACCCGACGGTAAKAACAACACAATGCGTAATTGTGGTTGCAGCGTTTTGAAAGAAACGTTCGATGTGTTAAATTCCACTTTCTGTCTGTGTTTCTGAATGATGTCATTGTCTTTGTTCTCGTCAGGAGGAAGGTATAAAAAGGAAGTGCTGGTGGACGGACAGAGTCATTTACTACTGATCCGGGAGGAGGCTGGGCCACCTGATGCTCAGGTGTGTGTGTGTGTGTGTGTGTGTGTGTGTGTGTGTGTGGGGTGGGGGGTTACGGCTTTGGTGACATTTGGGGGCAATTTTAAGACAAAAATCCGACATTTGGGGACAACTGGTGCATTTGGGGGCAAAAGTCGAGTCCCAATTCGGTTTAAACACCATTGGTGGGTTGGGTTTAGGACCAAGGTGTGAATTGAGTTTAGGTTAGTTTTAGGGTCAGGTTACCTGTGAGGTTAGCCTTATGGTTTGTGGTCGGGGTTAGGCTGTAGAAATGTAATGGAAGTCAATGGAATGTCCCCAATTAGATAGCTGTGCAAACTTGTGTGTGTGTGAGTGTACGGGTTTTTCCTACAACATGGGGTATTTTTAACAAAAAAAGCAGCCAGGTGGGGACCGAAGTGAATCGTGGGGACCATTGTCAGGTCCCCACGGGTCCAAATGCATGTTACAGGTGTGGGGTTAGGTTTAGGACCAAGGTTTAGRTTAGTTTTAGGGTCAGGTAAGTTTCTGTGAGGTTAATTTTAGAGTATATGGTCAGGGTTAGAACATAAAGTCTAAAAAACATGAATGTAAGTCAATGGAAGGTCCCCACGGGGTCAAGAAACAAACGTGTGTGTTTGTGTGTGATAATAATACACCCGTAGACTCCATCATCCATCAGGCTCAGTTTTAAAGCGAAGTTCTGTCAAATATTTCCCCAAATTTCCTTCCAGTGCATCATTTCTAGTTTTTAATAACTGGTGTATTTAATCTGTTGGAAAGCTTTCAGTCACCTTTATAAAGAGGTACAACATGCAGCCAAACATGTTGGTAGCACCATAAAAAAGTCCAGAATTCCCTGTAATATTCTTCAATCTTCCACAGTCACAAGAAAAACAGAAACACATACTGACAGTTTCTACACGTTATTTAATTGAAACTGTCAGGGACAACAGCTCAAGTCACAGCCAAATGTTAACAGGTGGGTAAAATCAGATCCAATCATTTCAAACTTCAACAGAGGCCACACATCCAGCAAGAAATTGTTTCTCAATAGCTGAGAGTTCAGACCCTCTGTATGAAGCAAAGAGTAGAACAAAGGGCTGGTTTTAACAGGCTAGTGTCTTTGTAAACTGTTTTCTCTATCAGTTTAAGTTTTGTCCAGTCTGTGTTTTTGTACTTTACTCTCAGGTTTGTTTTGATAATGGGTTTTCTCTGTGGTAATCCTGTTTAGCTTCCCTGAGTTCAGCCTCTCACCTGTTCACAATCAGTAATCACCCAGGTGTCTCCACTCTCCATGAACCTCTGCTCTGTCAGTCAGTCTGGTTGTATTTACACCAGCCTGTTTAGTCTGCTTTAATCAAACTCTAGTTTGTTTGCCTAGAAAGGCCGGTTCATTAGGGGAGGAGTGAACACGTCATCAAACTCTGATGCAGACCAAAAAGCGAACTGTGGTCTGCCTGAAAACGCAGGTCTCAGTTCGGTTGGTGTGAACTCTGGTGTGGTTCGATTGCATGTGTGAACGCCAAGTAGACCGGAGACAGCTCCAAAAGCAGGAAGTGGACTATAACGCAGGTCATTCTGAATAATAACAGTAATAAAGTTACTCATATCTTGTAAATACCTCGCTCAATGTCTGTATAAGGTGGACATCACTGCTGTGAAGTTGGATGTGCTCTTTCTCGGTGAACGCAGCCTCGTCTGCTGCCATTGTCCACAGTTCCACCTCACGTTCCACTCATGCTGAGCCCAACATGTTTGGAACATTTGCTAAAAACAAAAGATAAATCCTTCAGCCACTAAAATCTTACATCATTCCATGTTTGTTCTGTGTCTTCTTCAGAGGTTTTTCTTCTTCTTCTTCTTCTTTTGGTTTAATGGCGGTTGGCAGACTGTTTTAGTGCATAACCGCCACTAATATACTGGATGGTGGAACTGGAGAAGGCAGGCAAGAAGTTCAGAGGTTTTTTAACTGTTTCCTTCAGTGGTTCTTGGTGCAGCGCCACCACAGGTGTGTGTGTGTGGGGGGGTGGGGTGGACAGGTTGTTCACAGGGTTTGGTTTGTTTGGCCAGTGCAGTACAGCAGCTGAACATGTAAACAAATGTTACAATTTTGGTCTCCCATTGAACCGAGTCCACTGGACTATCAGGTGTGAATACGACCTCTGTCCCATCGTTCTTGAGGTCGGCCTTGGCTCCAGTATCTCAAACACCAAGCTCCTTTGTGTCCTCTCTGTATTCGGTTTACAGGAAGCTCCTGAGTTTGTTTGAATAGTTAAATAGACCCTCGTGACATTCTGCATTAATTTTACAGTGACAGCGGGGAGTTGAGTAAAGTTTGGACTGACTGGACGTGCTGATCAATTGGACCAATACATTCAGCATCAGTACATACACAACCAGCGCTCAGCACACACACACTTGAGTTTTAACACAGATGTTCAGCTGAGAAGACAAACTGAACAAACATACTAACCACTGATTTACACGCTGTGTTTTTAACGTCTCTGTGTTTGGTGGTTCCAGTTCTGCAGCTGGGTTGATGCTGTGATCCTGGTCTTCAGTCTGGAGAACGAGGCGAGTTTCCAGGAGCTGTACCAGCTCTACAGCCAGCTGTGTGCTCACCGCTCAGATATTCCAGTTATCGTTGTTGGAACCCAAGGTATGCACAAAACCACAGGATTAAGGATTTACATATTCTGAGACTAAGCCTGTCTCAGCTGGCATTATTAGAGCCACCTTCCTGTAAAACCTTCCAGAGTAGATCTAATCAAAGTTTCCTAGATGCTTTAGAGGTGTGAGAGAACTGAGCCAGCTCTTGAGTCCTGAGCTGAAATCTGTCTCTTGAGGAGGATCTGAGCCTGGATTCACCTGTTAGCACAGATTTCATTTTGATTCATCACTTCATTTGAAATAGTTTTTAATAGGCTGACATTACCTTCTACTTAGTGAGGACATACTGGATATATACCTGGTATTTACCTGGTACATACCTGGGCTCAGATTTATAAAAGATTGCGTGGAAACCATACCAAAAGTGAATGTACGGCCAAAAGGCAAAAATGGCGTACGACAATTTTTTTTTTCAGATTTATAAAACAGTGTGTACGCATGTTTCTGCTTATCTTTCCTTTATGAATCACAGCCACACCTCAGAGTTTGCACACAAGGTCCCGCCTCAGGTTCTACCCTCTACACGCCCACATTCAACCATAAACAGTCAATGCAAAGTACCTCATGAATGTTAAGGTGTATTTAAATCAGTCAGTTGATCAATATCAAAAAACCCGATTGGCCGGTTCAGACACGCTCCGTCGTGCATCTGGAGGATGACAGCTGCTCATGTGAACAGAGTGTCTGTAACTGACACAGATTTTCCCTCATTTTGCAAGTTTACGGACGTTTAGAGCAATCTAATGATTTTTATCAAAAAAATCAGCTTCAGATTCATTTTCTCTCAGAGCCTGCAGGACGATAAAAACAATAAAAAAATGAAATGTCAGATAAATTTAAGTTCACTGCTCTTCTCCCCCGTCCTCCCACTCCTGCCTGTTATCTGCGGCCGACCGTCTCCCCCACC